GAATGATTGCCCCTTCATTCACTTAACTGTTCGTGAGCTGTCTAGACCACCACATCTACAGCTGTCTTTTCGCAGGCTGTCCCGAATACCAAAATTATCGATATTTTCTTGCAGTTTGTTAGTAAGTGGAGGTGGTGTGGGGGCAAGCAGGCACTCTTATCACGCGCGCGGTCTTGTGGTCGAATACTGGTTCGGCTCTGGCTCCGGCTAAGCAAGCCTTACCATCTGGGAAAGTAAACTGGTGCCACACTTAGCTGGGAGGACAACATTACTAACTTTCATTCAGCACGTACTGTTCTGTCGGCAAACTCTGGAAAATTCTAGCATGTATTCACATAGATGAGGTTAGAACTGTGAATAGGACTTTTTTGCCCGCTGGCAATTTCGTATAGGTCCGAAGCAAAATTTCATAGTTTGTTGCAAGAGGTTTGGAGTCCTCACGTCGATGAAAATTAGCGAAATCTCCCTCTTTTCCACCTTTTCTTGAAAAGAACAGTGCCGAGACGCCGGTTCGCGGTGAAAAACGAACTTACATAGAAAACGGCACTTTCGTACTGTGAGCTACGTATATCTCAAAAGAGCTGAACGACGCTATCAGATGGATTTGCTCATTGCAAAGTAATGCCATTCCAGTTATGCACTCGGGATGACTGTAATAAGCAAGGTTCATGTATGGGATTGAAGGCCGCCCCAATCTGCATGTGTGATTTTGGATATTTTGGACCAAAATGTGAACATAGTAAGTTTATTTCCATATCACTTTGAACCCAACATATGCTAGTCTTGTGGGCCAACGCATGAACGGTGGCACACAGGCAGGTATCTTTCTCATTGACGTGCTTATCCTCCCAAGACAGGGAGAAGGATAGGCGCGGCAGTGAAGGAGGTACGATTGTTGTCCATCTCCACCTACACGAACGGGTGGACTTTTGATCAGTACTTACATGAGTGGTATTCTCGCAGGGCTCAGGTTACTCTGTGACACCTGTTAGTGCCCCTATCTCTTTTTAGCATCTAAAGAGGGCTTGAAGGCGGAAGGTATGTTGTTCGTCTGGGTAGGGGTATCGAATGGAGCTCAACAAAGCTTGTACACACCGCCTTGCAAAGGCATGTGAGTTTGCTACCAAAGTGGCTTGCTTGTACCATCTCCCAACTTCAAATTAGATTGGAGGTGTCAGCGAGGTTACATTTTTACACAAATGGCCTGTGCAACAATGTGTGCTCCCTTCAAGCCGGCTGGGCCGTTCCCGCTTCGGAACCCCTGACTAGAGACCTCTCACCGCAGAGCTCACCAAAATGCGACAAGTTATTCACGTAGAATGAGAAATTAGCGAATGTCAAATTACCCCTCGAGGCTAAACAGCGTTGCGTAAGGAAGATAGGGATTTAGCGAGGAGGATTAAGGCGCAGAAAACGGGTTCACCTAGAAGAACCAAAGTGTCGCTCGCTAGACTACCTCACCGACGCGTAAATCCGCCATACCGCCTTACGAAAGGGCACGCACCAATGATTAAAGACAATTCCCGCGATAAAGTGTTCGGGTAATTGGTGCCCAGTAACGAAGCAGTGGCCCATTTGTAACCCCCAGTGGAAAAAAAACCTCGCGAACACCCTGGAACACAGACCTCCCTTTAGCAGTGGGGGCGGGGCCTGGACGAGTGTGCCGGACGTGGCTGCCAGAAATCGATGCGGCAGCCGCAATTGCGTCCCGACTTTCGAAATAGGATACTTTAGGATACTTTAAAGGGACGGACGAAGCAGCTCGGGACCGGACGCCTCGTCCACCTACCGTGTCAGCGAGCCTAGCGAGCCTTGTGGAAATCGCTATAACTTCCTTATCGCGCCATATTGAGGGATGAAAGTGGTATCATCTTCGTCAAGGCGTAGAGGGTTCCAAAAAGCACGAAGTCATTTTGAGGACCACTTGATCGCGGGGAGTGTCTTTAAGGCACAATGGCTCTCTGCCTCCACACAACTGATTATCACGGTGTCTTCAAAGGGAATGGGTGCTCAGAACCCGTAGCACTTTTTCCTGGATAACCCCGCTCTTCAGGTGTTAATAGGCATGGAGGAATGACAAAAAACCTCCCTGGCTGAGATCTGGTCAGAATTCCACTGAGGAGCGGATGGCTTCACGGTGAGTGTAGTTCAGCACACTTGAGGGAGGTGGGGGCCTAAAAAAGGAGTAGTTTGCAGTGAAGTCTGTACGAGGGCCCACTTGATTCAACCTGGATTCAAGCTCCAGCAGCAAATAGTTGTAAGATGGATGTCATGAACCGAGTCGCCTGTTCCCACTTCCGCCATTCGGCATGTGGACCAAGTAGAGCGCAATCACTGATCTAGTATTATTTGCACCCCCCCCCCACCTGCTCTTATGCTCTCGATAGTCCACAAGAACCTAATGACTCTATCATTTCAGGTTTGATTTCTCAGGGATTATGTGACTCAGCAACGGGTTGTAGTGGCAATGGATTATGCATAGGTGAGTTTCTTAGCATTCAGGGAGCTTATAACCTTGGGCCCATTCAAAGGACACCTTGTGCATAAAGTAAGGTAAAGTAGAAGGAAGTAGGAGTGTTGCTTAGTCCATTAAACAAACGAGCCGTTCTTCAATCTGTCTACAAACCCGGACCTCCTCCTTCTTCAGGGTTAGGTGAAGGTCCTCATCTCCAATGAGGGTATGCAGATGAGGACCTTCACCTCATCTCATTTTAGCCCAAGGAGTCATACAAATGCACCGAGCATTAAACTGGTATATCACTGTTCAGGAACCAGGGAAAGCTTCACGTGTTCATGCTTCCTTGGCTACGAAGGAGAAAACTGTCAGAATAAAGTTGGCGGTAGGTTACTTTTGCACTTATAACTGTAACTTTAGTACTTATTGTTAGCGGGAAATATATTCGGACAAGTTGTAGCGCAATCTGTGGGAGATAACGTGCTCGTATACGCCGATATCCCCGCTCTGCTCTCTGGCATGTTCGAGCCCATGTGAACCCCTCCGCATCACATAATTCAACCACATTTTGCAGGGTCCAACTCAATTCTGCCTACAATGGCGGGTGCTTGCACGGCAGAAGACTGCAGTAACCAAGGGGTATGTGTGGGTACAAAAGATCTCCCATTCTGTCTGTGCAATCTCGGCAGAACTGGAAAGAAATGCGAGCATTCCATCAATTCTTTATGTGAGTCTGAAAGTTCTACTGACAAAAACTCTCACAAAATAT